CTAATCCCCAAAAGGCCGGTAACGCACTTGTAACGCCTCTGGTGTTCCAGGTGTCCATGGGCGACGCCGATTGCTTACCATCAGGTGATCCGTCAGCTCGTTTACCGGCTTATGCAATAAAAAAAAGAAAAAAGTCCTCATAACTTACCTTCCAAAAGATTAGTAGGTAAGTTATGAGGACTTTTTTCTTTTAAATCAAAAAAGGATGATGCAAGGTCCTTACCTTAAACTCTAGGTAGCTCTGAGAGGGAGGAAGCATTTGATGATGTGATCTTACGCCGAAATGATCTGTTGTACTATATTTCGACAGTTAGAATATACTTAATAGGTACAGTTTTGAGTTTATTCCTCCTGGAAGGATGTAACCACTATGGGTACATTCTACCTGTATTTAAGTAAGTAGGTACGTTCCCATAAAAATCATGTTGGGAAACAAACGCGAACAATCACGTAATGCATGCAGTCAAATGAATTAACAAAGAATTATTTACTGACGTTACAGTCTGACTATCCCATAAATTACTTTATAAAAAGTGCAGAGCCCTTCTTCATTTATCTGTAAATCGCGGGGAAACCTTATAAATATTGAAAGTGTTGTCACAACAAAAAATATGTATATCAGTAAACTAGTATTGCTATATCAACAGATTTAACAATTTACAATTTGATAAATACACCGCACTAACATGTTTTTATTCCATTGAGTCTTTTTAAATTGTAGATAGAAAAAATTGTAGATTTCGAAGTACATTACTCAATATTTCGGATAAGTAGAAAATATGAAAATTGTATCATTTTATTTTTGTGATCAAAATCCACTGATATAGAAAATCACAAAACAAAACAAATAATAATTTCATTCGATCCACATATATAAAGTCATTATTATAGAAATGTAATATTGAAAATCAAACTAATCATTACTATTAATGTATCAAGTAACATGTAACAATTGTCACGCTTTAGAAGCCATAAAGCAATTTATACATATGTTACTTTCAAAATCTGTACATTCCTTGAAAAATTTTATTTTACGGACCTAACTCATCATAACTCTACTGACTCTACTCTATAAATAAGTAGTTGTCTATATTTATAAGATGGCGGGTGATGAAAGTGACAGGTTTGTAAATAGTAAATGAAATTCCATAAACTTAGTATAATTATTTCTTTAAATACTGTACAATAAATTATCGTTTATGCATTACTCTCTAAATTTATTCATAGTATATAATTTGCTTCGCAATTACATAACTGGGCTTTGTTTATAGTGATCTAAAGCCATCCAGTGTCGCGATCATCAGAGAAGTTTATGATAGTGAAAATGCTCACATCAAGTTTGAGATGGAACTGGAAAGAGCACTGGAGGCCGGCGTTAGCGTTATTGTGATAGAACCAGAGCCACTTGGTGAAGAAACAGCACGTTGGATATATGTAGGAAACCTCTTGCATAAGGTATCTGTTTACAGTGGACTCTGTAGCATTACATCAGGTATGTCATGTTTTATTATGGTTACTATTTGTGATTAGAAAAAAATAGGATATTGATAATAAAATATTGCGAATTTCTTTTAGTTGGTATGATTGATGATATTCACTATAGTTAATAATGAACCTGTATGCTAGAAAAGCTCACAGTAAAATCTTTGTTTACTTTTTAGGTGGGTTTAGTCATTCGATTTTTTTTTGAAATAGATATTTATCATGTGTAATATTTTATCATTAATTTCAGGTCTTGTATGGAGTTCATTAGCTTGTGCACCGTTTGGCATTGTGTCTGTACTATGTGCAGGTTGCTACACATTGTCATGGCAGTGGGATCCGTGTTGCAAATATCAAGAAGAAAAGAACCGCCGCCATTTATCCACATTACCCATGTTGAGTGATCTAACATCTGCATCACCCGTTGTTCTGGTGCACACAGACAATAAAAGAAAAATTATGTTACATACAACAGTGTCTATAACAGCGACAGCTATATGCTTATGGAGACTATATAACATTTTTAAATAAAAATATAGTCTTGCAAATAGCATAATAATGGTGATGAGCGTATATTTTGACTTTTGTCACTAAATGCTCCAATGAAAAGCATAAAATATATTAGTGCTTTCTAATAATGTTGTTTACGTTTGAAGTCTAATGATGTAATTATACAAAATTATGTATAATTTATTGTAGGATGCAATGTAAAAATGTTATTAATAGTAAAATTAGTTTAAAGCTTGTACAAAAGATATTTTCTTGTAATTTAAGGATGCTTTTTAGTTAATCAAATGTGATAGTGAAGGATTCTGTTAAAAAGCAAGGTAATGGTGATCTCCAATTAATAATATCCTCACTGTTATCATGTAATAAAACAATGATACAATTTAACTGATTGTTTATTTTAAACTTTTATAATACTAGATTGCTATTGTGCCCATTATAATTATTTTTTACAATAAACAAGTAACTTTTTTACTAATTCTTAAAAAAGTAAAACAAATGTGCTACATTAAAGTGTATCTAATCATGAGTGTGTCACAGCAGTACAATAACATTTATATGTACTGCCATAGATAAAATAATATTTAATATTGGCTAAATACAACCCTGTTGTATGAACCATGAATAAATAAGAGTTGATTGATGAATGTGAAAAAAACCATTGTAACATTCTTCAATCTTGTACCGTAAACAAATCCAAACTATATAACAAATTGAGTATTAATTTGCGACAATTTATGTTCTATAATGTCGATGTTACTTCATAAATTATATCTTTTTGATACCATAAGGTACATGTTCCGAAAATACAAAGCATATGTACCTGTATAAAAATATAATTTCTTAAATATTATAATTAAAAACAGTGTCTAACTCAAAGTTAAAGACAGTTATACCCTAAAAACTAATAAAAACCCTTGCCATTGGTGAAATTAAATAAATGCCTATAAAATCTTTAACCATTCTAACTGAATTAACTAAATTAAAAAAAAATAAGTTTATCATATTACTAAGGACCTGTTTCACTTCTGTAAAGTTTCTGTAAGCATAGCTGATATAATATTTTGTTGCTGAACATTTTATACCGTAGAGCTATCAGAGGTAAAAGTAACAGAAAATGCAAAACTACAAATATTTGAGTATTAACCATTGTCTAATAAAATAGTTCCTTAGTCTATGATAATAACTAGCTTTTTGGCCATAAATCTCTTTCTTTGTATAGTACTTAAGTTAAAAGTTGAGACCACTAAGATGTGTTGACAGCTCTCCTTGCCATAATCCAGTGATATAATGATGGTGTACAATGTCTTAAAGTTACAGCTAAACTTGGTAAAAACTGGCTAATAACCAAATCTTTTTCTTTGTTCACAATTCCATTAAGGATCCTGTTTGCAGTGTATTCTGGAGAGAAACCAGCAGCCGTGCTTTTATCCATTACTGGAACAGATTTAATTATATTTATACTTTAATATATAAAGGGGAACAACAAAAACCACTTGCAAATGTAAACAACAGATCATTAGGCCATTATTAAAAAATACTCACCTCCATGTGCTTCTCCAGACCCAGTGTAAGCATTTAAAGATATAGCAGTTTTTATATAACCAGGGCTAACAACTGTAACATTGATGTTATGCTGATGCATTTCTGCTCTAAGAGAATCTCCAAAGGCTTGCATTGCATGTTTTGCAGCTGCATACGCAGAGCGCTCAGGTATTGCAATGAGCCCCTGGACCGAACTCACAAACACTATGTGACCAGCTTTGCGTTGCACCATCTTTGGAAGGCATTCTGGAAAATAAATTACAGGATGAATAAATAAAATTTTGAAAGATATGAAATATAAAAAGAGCATGCATGCGATAATCACATTAAGTAGGACAGACATTTTCATTGATACTTTATTCAATTCACCTTTTGTCAGAGCAACAGAACCAAAATAGTTAACATCCATAATACTCTTGAAAACATCTATCTTAGAATTCAATATTGATCCTCGATGTGAGATACCTCCATTGTTAATCAAAATGTCTATTTCCCCACAGGCATCATAGACATTTTGAACAAATGAACTCATTTCTCCCAATTTAGTAAGGTCCAGCTCCAATACAACCGGTTCCAGTGTTGGAGTAGACTGAAACACAAAAATCATTTTAACTCGTCGAGTACCGGTTTTGTAGACACAATTATAGAACAATAGGTTGCGGTCACCGGTGACCGCTTGGTGTTTGACAGTTTAATGGTATTTCTTATTAGTAATTCTAATGCACACAAAACGAGTTGGCTGCGCTTTAGGTATGTGCCACCACCTAAAGCGTGGCCAACTACTTCCGCATGTACTACATTCAAACTGGCATTTCCTATTACTTCAATAAAAAACGCCATATACTCCAAAGATCAAAATGCACTGTTAGATAAGATTTAGAGATATAGTTAAATAAAGTGAGAGAACTATGTGAGCTTATTCTGCAGTGGTTTAAAGAATGAATGTGTGTAAAAAAAGTAAAAAGATATATACCAGATTCTTAGACACTAAGTCATTTTTTACTCTCTCCAATTCTGTTTTTCTTCTAGCAGCTAACACTACTTTGCTTCCTTGTTCATAGAATGCATGAGCCAATGCTTCTCCTATACCAGAACTTGCACCAGTTATTACAACTACCTGGAAATATACAAATTAGAAAACCAATTAAGTCGTGTAAATAACATACATAAGTGACATATTATAGGTACTCAGGTTCACCCATATGACGACTCACTGATCAATTGCTGCACCATATCATACAAATTCCATGTAAGTACATTCCATGAGTTTTTATGGGATATAAAATTTACTAAAAGCTTACCTTTCCTTGCAATGCAGCACGACGTCTATTTGTGGTGATACAGCTGAATAATTTACACATTGTCACACCAATGGTCAATGGAATACCAACATACTTCAGGTACCAAGTAAGTGAATGAACTGCAACTGCATCACAGTACAAAAGATCCATTTTGTTGAATGTTTATTAGTGATGATCGTTGAGCTTAAAATCCAGTTATTCCAGTTTACAACTCCAGGTAACTAATGACAGCTAAAATATTTAAAGAAATTACAAATTAAGTTTACAATATAATTGGTTGAACGTTTCAAACAAAAGTCAAACAGCACCAGTATTAGTCGAACTGTTCAGTGGGCCACCTTACTTATAGATTTACAATAGATTTTTTAAAAATTTAAACCAAAACAGTCTTATTGCTTCAACCTTGGCTCTAACCTTACAAAGTTATATTATGATACTGTGAGTCTGTGACAGTTGATGGAAATTGGAAACAGATAAACTAAATAAATGAACTTTAGAGTTTAGACTTCGATGCACTTCGATGACACAAGTGCTAATACAATATTGGTAATCGGTATGTAGTGTCACTGTAGTAGTAGGCATTGGTATTAGTAGAGTATTATTTGTACGAATTTGGTTCGATTATTCAATTTTTGCTTATATTATATTATATTGCTCAATTATAATACTCAACTGAATCTTAGAGAAGAAAAAAAGAGGTTTTAGCTCCGGTCTTCGATTAGTTCGATTCCCAATTTGGGCAAAGTTGTTTATTGATATATTTGAGTTAATTACAAATTATTTTAATAATCACTTAGAATCTGATCTGGTTTGTTAAAAACGTTCCCATTATTAATAGGAAGGTTCTAACATAATTTATGAATAGTGGATGTTTGGTTTACCGTAGGTGTACTTACAGTTACCATTACCACATCTGCGCCATCTGGTGAGTAAAAAACCGGTAGCCCCAATGTGCGGAAAAATCATAGACAATAATAATAGAGTCAATGACCTGTAACTGTCATTTGCGAATAAGTGCCCAAAGGCAAGACTTGAAAAGTACAGAGGTACAGAATGGGTACAGATAACTAAATAAAATTCAGTGGTAGAATAACTATTTTTTTATTACAATTCATTGAAAATCCACGTTTGTCATCATTGAAAACATTATCCAATGTTTTGGATAAATATTCGAGTGAAAAGCAGTGACAGAAACGGACACTTACTGATTATTGATCAATTTCAAATAGGTATTTATCTGAATAAATGCCTTCTGCTCCAGTTCTAGGCATGTAGCAAATTGTCTATGGTTTTGAAAAATATTTAATAGCGTCATGTGGTGATTTTTTTGATGATTGGCAACACCAATTCGTAATTTCTTGATTATCTAAATGTTGGGATTATGTTTGATTTGTCCTGGATAAATAAATTAGACATAGTTAACATAATGTTTCAGTGAGTATTTGCTACATATTCAATCAACACACGGTTTGGTGTCAATAAAACTAATTTTCTCAGTTTCTCATGGGAGTGTCGTACAGATGCGCTGACCTTCGTTTTGATGCACAACGCACAACAAAGCATCAAATTGACGGCTGCCCCATTTTCACAACAATCTTTGGATTCGATGTTACTTCAATTATTAGTGATTTCCCCTGTTTGATAAATAATCATTTGGTAATGTTAAATATTCTTGTGCAAAAGTGTTACGTGAGTGGAAAGTAAAATGATAGTGGAAACGACTACGCAAACAATTTTGTATGGTGTGTTATAGTACCACAGCAAAAGCTTTCTTTTTAACTTCTAGGAAAATAATAGTGCACCTGAGAAAATAAAACTGTTTAATCAAGATGAATGAAAGGGATATCCCAAGTGTCCCTATTACGACATTAGCAGGAGTAGCCAGCTTGACAGACTGTAAGTATGTGAACTACATCAAATATGAGTTCTTTTGACAACTAACATTTACATAAAACTCCTCAGTATTCCTTGCTAATCAATCACACCAATTATTTAATGAAATACTAAATTATTGTTGTATGCTACTTGTCTTAGAAACTGCATAACCATATAGTCATAATAAACATAAATGTATTATTTACATAACATTAATTCTAGGTATGTACCATCTGATTAGTTGCTTCTTGGGTATTTTTGATTTATTTAATATCAAATTATTAATATTTTTCTAATAGTAAGAAACTAAAGATGTGTTAAAGAGTATTACAATTCATAATTTTTGGTTTAATAGTAATATCCCTAAAATATATTATATTTATGTACATTGATTTTGAATGTTTAGTCAGATTTATTAGTAAAAGGTATTGAGGTGAGGATAAGAATCCTCAGGTGAAATTTTCCATATCTGAAGGTTTATTATTTTAATCTATTTTGTATTATATTTACTCCCGGGTTAATGAATGTGTTTGACCAAAATAATTCTACAATAAATAAGTGATCATATCACATTATTACTTATTTCTAAGTTTATTGGCTTTTACGAATTAAATATGGATAGATTAATTAAAAGTTGTTTACATTTAAACTTCTAATGAAGTCGAGAATAACTTTCCTCAGACTGAAAACTTTAACATAGATTAATATTTTAAAAACAGAATAAAATAATATTATTATGTGTCTCTTGTTAAAAATGACAATGAGTCTAACCCAAGACATGATACTTAGCGGGTTGCGGAAAGGAACTGGCTATTGTTAAGTTAAATATCTACTTGGTTCCTGGTTTTAGTTGGCACCATAAACCAAATCCAGATAAAACTAGTGGTTTAATAAATGTATGTTACTGTAATAAATGTGGCAGAATAGTATTTTACAATGCTCAATTAATTGCATCTTGGAATATTACTGTATTAATGAGTAATATTTATTACTGTTCTATTGCAATGACATATTTACTGTTTGGAAAAATGTGTAAAGGAGGGTTCTTTAACTTTCACACAATGTTTCATAGCAATCGGTCTCTCTTCAAAATTTACTAAAGTTTTAAACGCATTCAATAATAATATTATAATTATTATGTTTAAAAAATTCTTTTTTGTTTCAGTGTTACCCGTGTTACCTCTTCCAGCACCACTGCCTGCAACACTTAACAACAAATCACAGTTGTTTCACCCTCGTGTTGCTGAAGAGGCAGCGATTCTGCTGGCAACACGTGATGAAAATTTAGTATCTTTACTAATTCAATCTCTTATGCAGACATCAGTATCGCACATGTAATATTTTCAATTAATTGTACATATCTATTATATTATATTCGATAAGGTTTAAGTAATTTACACTCTTGTAATGAATGTAATTTTGATCTTTTCAGAGATTTAAAAGATGATGCTACTGCAAACACTTCAAATCCTCCAACACCACAACCTTTACCAGAGCTGTTGAGGGCAATTTTAAGTGTAAATCCTAATGTGTTTGAGCAGCAACCAAGAACACATTGGGGTCCTAATTGTCACTCACACCATAAGTTTAATGGTATATCTCCCAATACTGTGCCCTCAAGTCCATCATCACACGGTACAGCATCCATTCCAAATCAACAATTGTTGGCTACTCCCTCTCAGTCCTCTCCCCATGTTAACATGGGCTCTCCCCCCTCACAAGCCAGGCCAGGGAACCAAGTAAATAGTACTTCTCAGAACAGTGTGTCCCCAATTTGGAACAGTGGAAACTCATCCAATATGTATCCAAGTCCACTGTCAAATGCATCCAATTCCAACCCACAAAATGGTGGATTTTATAATAGTTTAGTACAAGATAATAGAAGTTATGGTACTAATTTAAGTGAAGACAAAGATCCACTTTCTATGTCACCAAGCAACCAGCCGGATCAACAGAGATTAATAATGCAACTGCAAGAGAAGGCATTTGAGCAAGGTACTACTGCTGCTTTACTATGATATACATATCTGATACTAAACCCTTAGAAAAAGAACAGGAGTACTCATAGTACACAAACTTGTTGTTATATAATCATTTATTATATCAAAGGATATACCTATTGCCAAAACGAATTCTAGACTTCTTACTGTTAGTCTTATGTAATTGTATTGTAATTGTATTCAAGAGTCACCCATGCCATCATTGTTGCAAGAAAGCAATCTTTTATATTTTTTCATTCAACCAACTTTTAACTTACTATCATTATTAATATTGTAGATGGTAATGTGAGGACTGGGCAGTCTCCAGCACAAGCCAGTGTGGCGCCATCGCCACTTCGTATAGAACCGCAAGTGCCTCAGCCTTCCATGGGAGCTCCATACGCTCCACCACAAGCTCAAAATAGTAATCAAGACAAGCAAGAACCAAGTAAAAGTGCGGGCGCTATGAATAATAGATATCCTGTCGTTAAACTTGGACGTTTATCAGTAAGTTCTAAATTGTTAATAGGCTATCATTATTTTAAATTCCATGATTTTTTATGTCCGTTAAATAATTAATTTTACAGGAGGGATTGTTGAAAAAGCATGACTTTACTGCTGAAGAAAGATCAAGGAAAAATAGCGCCCTTGAATCTGATTCTGATGACAATGTACCGTTGAAATCGAAGTCAACTATCGGTACACCGACTGTAGATAAGGAAAGAGAAGCGATAGATATAGCTAGGGAGAAAAATTGGGAAGCAGTTAAAAGGAAACATGAAGAAGCCAGCAAGAGGGAAGAAGCTGAGGCTGCTATAGGTATTAAACATCTTTTTGGTTATTCCACAAATTGCTTGTGTAAACTAATAGGAAACTTATATTTATCTAACATTTCGTAAAAAAATTATTTCATATATTTTTGAACAAAATTGTAATAAACGATATTTAGAACGTGCGACATCAATTTCTATTTTCTCCTTAACAAGATCCACTTTAATAAGAAAATAATTAAATCATATTTTTGTTGTTTCAGTGCGCCCAAAGTTACGTAAAGTAGAACGGAGATTAGTACCTGTGCTAGAAATGCTATCTGTAGATGAATTAATGGAGACTAATACTTATCAACGTTTCAACAAATTGATTGAATCAGTATTCGAAGCTATCGACGATGACGTATTAATTACTGACGAAATGGGTAAGTTAAGCCAAATCTTTTTGGCCCTAATTATGAAACTAGCTTTTAAACTAGTTATTTACAATTATAAAATGGATTTCAATTGCAGAAGGAACAGATATACCTGAAGAATTATTATTACCACGTTACCAGCTTCAAGAGCTGTGCTCAGAAGCTGCTAAGTTAAAGAATCTTGGTGCTATGGAAGCTATACCAGCAGACAGATTAGTTCGATTGTTAAACATATTAGAGAAAAATATCAGGGCGGCGGAGAAAATGTCGTTAGTCAGCGACCCGGTAAGTGAGCCTATATCATTGTTTCAAACGATACCATTCTGTTATTTTAATTAACGTATACGAAATAATATAACTGGTTTGTCTTTGTAGGAGGATAGTGAAGAGATGCGCCAAATATGGTTAGAGTCAGCGTTAGAAAGGGTTATGTGTGCTTCGGATGCATGTCTAACGTCATTGTACGTGATGACCTCCCCTAACATGCCGAAGCGGATATTTCTAGAAGATGTTATAGATAGAATTATTATGTTCATCAAATTCCAGTTGAACAATACAATTTATTGTGTCTACGAT